TTGCCTTCGTCATGTGCTCAAGGTTACTGGCTATTGCAAGTTAACATTGTTGGATGTGAGTTAAAAATATCACACAACTAGCAACACTACAAGATTTGTGTGCGTCAGACAAGCACTATAGTTAACACCAAGTATTAAGATGTTGAATAAGAAGTAGAGTATGACGAGCACTAGCAAAAAACTAGAGCATGTAGAAGCAAGAGCCCCAGACTAGTCTCACATGTGCTTGGCAGCAACGCCGGGAAGGTGAGGAATCCGATCAGAAGCGCAATCTTCGAGCAGGACGAGCGGCCGAGGAATAGGATGGCGGGCTGCACAACAGGCGGAACGGCAGTCGGGGCGAGTTGGACGGCGAGATGAGTGACAGGCATGCCGGCGGCGGCCGTGATGGACAAGAGGCGACAAGGGCAGAACCAGTCATACTACACGATGAAGTTGAGGCCACGAAGGTGGGTCGACCCTGTTGACCCACCGGGTCAGTCGGTGGTGGCTCCACTGACCCAACTATGGTTCGAAGCTTAGGGTTCAGGGTTTAGGGTCAGCCCACACGACCCATTTACCTTGATTTTTCGGCCGGGTCAGTGACCCGGCGTGCCTACCGTCCCATTCCCATCCTGAGAGAATGGTCGCACCATGATCGATTGAGGCTATAAAGGTAATTTTTGGACCTTCGAGAAGAAAGTAACGAGAGGGACTTACACACGATGTAGACTTGACCGAGCTCTTGTGAATTCTGATTGGCTGTCAATGTTTCCCTTGGCATCGATAACACACTTGACGGGAGTCACTTCGGATCACTCTCCTTTGCTGCTAAATCTGGATGCCGGGACCAATGATCGAGTCAATCGTCCTTTTAGATATGAAACAATGTGGGAGAGACATGACAGTTTTCGAGATGTAATGAATCAGGGATGGGGTGCAAGCCCGCCATGCTCGACAGTGGATGAGCTGCGTCAGAAGCTACAGAACCTTGCAAGCGACCTGGGAAGGTGGAGCCGTGACACGTTTGGAAGTGTGAGAAAGGAGATAAAATCTTTGAAGAAATCTTTGGATGAACTAAAGAACGACCCCTTGAGGACAGGCCCCTCACATGCAGAGCTTAAGATCAATGAGAGGTTGATAGAGATGTATCATAGAGAAGAAATTATGTGGCGTTAGAGAGCAAGAGTTGAGTGGCTTTCAGCGGGAGACAAAAACACAAAAAAATTCATCTGCGAGCCAGTCTCAGGAGGAAGAAAAATATGATCAAGGCCCTTCAGAATTTGTTGGGAGTGGAGATATCCGATCCTGGAGAGCTAAAGACTTTGGCTTATGAATTTTATCAGTCCTTATATCTCTCCGAGGGGGTGCAAAACATGGACGCTGTTTTAAACCATGTGCCATGCAAGGTGACAGCAGCTATGAATATGGAACTATGTGCTCCATATACTAATGAGGAAGTCAAGATTGCTCTTTTCCAAATGTTCCCAACCAAAGCACCGGGGCCTGACGGCTTTCCTGCCCACTTTTATCAGAGGCATTGGGACGTTTGTGGTGATGAGGTAACAAGCATAGTGCTGAGAATTGTAAGCGGTGAGGAGAGCCCAGAATCCATCAATGACACCGTGCTTGTGTTAATCCCAAAGGTAACTACTCCTACGGTGCTTGCTTAATTTCGTCCTATAAGCCTGTGCAATGTTTTGTATAAAATAGCCTCAAAGGTGATAGCCAATAGATTAAAAGTGATATTACCTGACATAATATCGAAGGAGCAATTTGCTTTTGTCCCCGGAAGGCTCATCACTGATAACATCATTTGCGCATATGAATGTTTGCACTTCATGAAGAGGTCCAGATCAAAGTCCAACAACTTCTATGCTCTAAAACTGGATATGATGAAGGCGTATGACAGATTAGAGTGGGACTATTTGCGAGGGATCATGACAAAATTGGGTTTTGATGGCCACTGGATAGATATTGTCATGCACATGATTTCTTCAGTCTCATTTTCGGTGTGTTTCAATGGAGAAAGGCTAGAATCGTTCAAGCCTACACGAGGTATCCGGCAGGGAGACCCGATCTCCCCCTACTCATTCTTGATCGCAACAGAGGGCCTCTCGTGCCTCCTTAAATCAAGTTCTCAGTCGTCTCCGACAGGTATTCAGGTGGCTCCTACGGCTCCTACCGTTAACCATCTCCTGTTTGCAGATGATAGCCTGTTGCTATTCAAAGCCAGTGGGGAAGGATCAGTTCAGGTGTCAAACCTACTTGATATTTACTGTAACGCTTCGGGGCAGAGGATCAACAATGATAAATCTTCGATTTTCTTCAGTAAATGTTGCCCGACACAGTTGAGAGAGACTATAAAGAACAATTTGCAGGTCTAGAATGAATCATTGAGTGAACGCTACCTGGGTATGCCAACAGATGTTGGTCACTCGAAGAATGGTACGTTCAAATATCTCCGAGACCGTGTCTGGGAAAAGATTAAAGGTTGGATGGAGAAATTGTTGTCCGCGGCTGGTAAGGAAATTTTGATTAAATCGGTTGCACAAGCGATCCTAGTCTACACGATGGCATGTTTCCGTCTGCCAAGAGGTCTTTGTGATAGCATCACATCGATCATTCATCAGTTCTGGTGGGGCTCAAAACAAGGGAAGAGGAAGCCGAGCTGGGTAGCATGGGATACCACGACTTTGCCGAAGCATTTAGGAGGTTTGGGGTTTCGTGACTTGGAGATCTTCAATCTTGCATTGTTAGCAAGGCAGGCATGGCGTACGCTCACAGACAGTACATCTCTCAGCGCCCGGATTCTCAAGGCAGTATATTTTCCGGATTGCTCTTTACTTCAGGCTGAGCTAGGAGCCCACCCATCACAGATATGGAGGGCGATACTGGACGGGCGTGACATCTTGACACAAGGTTTGGTGCGCAGAATAGGAGATGGTGCATCCACTAATATTTGGCAACACAACTGGATACCGCGAGACAATTACAAGTGCCCTATAACAGCTCTCGTCTAAAATCCACCGGACCGAGTATCACAACTCATTGATGTCACATCGGCTAGCTGGAATGAGGGCTTGGTCCGAACGATTTTCACTACCTTCGACGCCGAGGCAATTCTCAAGATCCCTTTGTGCACGCGTCGTGTTGACGATTTTTGGGCGTGGCATCATGACCCTAGGGGGAGATTCAGTGTTCGGTTTGCCTATCACATGATTCTCAAGACTAAGCACGACAGGGAAGCATGGTTGCATGAGGAGGGAGGCACCTCATATGAGGCCAGTGAGACCAACAACTGGTCCATGATTTGGCATATCCAAGTACCCTCGAAACTCAGGATGTTTCTATGGCGATTGGCCCGACAATCTATGCCAACTGGGACTGTTTTGCATCACCATCATATGTCAACCGAAAACTCTTGCTTACTCTGTGGAGCCGTGGACACATGGAAGCATGCACTGATTACATGCCCTATGTCTGCGAGTATATGGGCTCTGGCTCCGAAGGATTTGGTGCAACACATGGTAGAACGAGGAGAGGAGAACCCAAAAGATTGGCTCTTTGCTATACATGAAATATTAACAAAAGAGCAGTTTGATCGTTTGGTGGTGTCTCTTTGGGCAATATGGGGAGCCAGGAGGAAGGCCATTCATGAGAGTATCTTTCAATCTCCTCACTCGGTCGACAGCTTCATATCTAGCTACTTGGGGGAGTTGCAGGTGATCAATGCCAAAACCCCGGCTGTCACGGCGCAGAGACGCGTCAACCCAAGGGGGTGGCTGGCCTCGTCGGCGGGGAATGCCAAGATTAACGTTGATGCGGCTGTATCGAGGCAAGGGTTCGGCTCAATTGGAGTGATTTGTAGAAATCATGAAGGCATGTTCATCGGCGCATCAACTTGTGGCTTCAGGAACATTGTAGACCCACCGACCCTCGAAGCTCTAGCCATTAGAGAAGCCTTGGCACTGGCGGATGATCTATATTTGAGGCGGGTTGAAGTTGCATCGGATTGCAAAGTGGTCGTGGAAGACTTACAGAAGGACAATCTTGCGAGCTACGGTGCAATTGTACATGAAATAATAGCCCACTCTTCAGTTTTTGAGTTCTCTAATTTTAAACATGAGTCTAGGAGCTCCAATTATGAAGCTCACAACTTAGCGAGGCATGCATTATCTCTCGGTGGTGACCGCCGTGTCTGGTTAGGCCATCCCGGGAACCTACCTTCCGTCCCTGTAAACATTGTGACGAATTAATAAAGCCTCGTGACGTCGCCTCAAAAAAAAAATCGATTCGCCCGCAACGGCACGCGGAGATTTGTGGGTAGCATCCAACGGCAGTCGTTCCGTCGCGCCGAGCGGGAAATAGCGAACGTCGGTTCGTTATCATTTCCGAAAAAAAAAAATCACCAAGTCGGCGCGCCCACGTGACCGG